CCAGTCAGGCTGCGACTGGAGATGACTTCATATTTTGGTGTACATGAAGGTGATGGGCGAGAGCCAGCTCCTGCTTATCGAGGAACATCTTGGGTATCTTCCGCCCTGGTACTCCACGTCCTCTGTCTGGGCAGCGAAAACTTTGCTGATATGTGACTCGGTCGAAGTGACTTTTTTGCCCCCCCCCCCTGTATATCACGATGCTGTACCTCCACTGCATCCTGCAGAACCCTAGAAGGAAAGAAGGAACCCAATGGACTAGATTTTTTGGGGGAGGGGTGGGCGGCAAAAAGCGCTGGGTGCAGCGCGGGCGGTCCACTGCGGTCACAGACTAAGCCACCACGTATTCGCCTGCACGCTCTGCAAGGTGTAGCGTTAACGTTCGACGTTCTTTCACTACATTTAGTTGCTGTAAATATCAGACTCGGCGCTAGAAAATGGGTTGCAGGAATACAAGACGTGAGGACGCTGATTCGGGGCCGATTTGCTGGGCGATAATCCCAACACCTTCATTACTTGGGGGCAAGTAATAAATGTACGGTTTTCCGCTGTCAAATAGCGCTGCTTATCTTCCCAGAAAATAAAACTTAATGTCTTCATCGCTGTGGATGATGTGCAGCTGCATCTGGGGCGGCGCCAAATCCGTTTCCCACCAGTTGTTGAAGCATGTAAACGAAAATATTTGGTGGAAAACTACTGGGGCGAACAACATGATACAGCCTTGCAGCTTGATCGCTTCGACAACTAGTGGAAAACCGACTTGGCCTCGCGCCAAACGGCGAGCCAGGCAATGCCATTATGGATCAAAAAACCATCATAGCAACTCAAAATAATTTTGGAAACATATACCAGAAGCACGGTAGAGAACGATCATTATACGAGATATTCATTGCGCACTGAACTCCACAAGTGCATGTCAAATTCATGTCAATTCGTACTGGAATTACATAATACAAATTGAAAAATTTACAACTGTAGAACAATTTCCCTAGTGCTCATCCATGTAATCGAGTACGGTACTTGGAAATGTCTTGCATCACCTTATCTTCCAATATAGAAGAGATCTACTAAAATCGTCAGATGCTCTCGAAAATCTCTCAAGTAGTTGAAGTCTTTAATTTACCCACATAAATTTCAGTTTCGGGAGAAAGAAACAATATGGCGAGCTTAAACGGGAGCAAAGGCCGCTATATATGATACATGAAGGAATTTCGATAATCGTAGAATGGTTGTATTCCAACATCACTGCTCTTCGAGTTTTCGCTTCTTTGATCGCCTCATCTCACGAGACTGAAATTCGGATCATTTAACTACGTGAAAGCGAATAATGAATCATGAGAAGGGAAGAAAGGTATGAGAGCAACCCACCGCCTCATCTTCGATCACATCGTTCCTCATCATCGTAGGAGTCAATGGAGCTCCAGATGACGTTATACTTGGAGGTGGAGGTTGCTGTGCATGTTTCAATGCTGCTGGAGACGTTACCGAATCTGCTTTTCCGGGGACATGGTCTTTTTATCCAGTTTCACGCCTGATTTGGAAGGTGGCATAGCTAACGCATAGCGATCCCATCCTGTAAAACGGCTGGTGAGAGCGAAATAATGTGAAGGTGTAAGATATACCGCAGCTTGACGTATGCTCTAGTCCCATTAGTGAAAAATCTCTCCTGCTATTCCACCAACTAAGGAGAATTTGAGGATTTCCATGAGATAGTCTTGAAGAAAATGGACTTTTAGAGCCACTCAATTTTTTTTGAATTGAGTTCCATAAGCCGAAATAAATAACGTTTCTGCTATTGAACAATCCTTTTCTAGATGCGCCACGAACTCTATGCCCTACTGAAATCACACTGGTTCTAATATGACGTGGCTTTAACCTCCGCAACCTGGATGAGTCTTGTCCTAACTGTTCGTCTTAGGGTAGTGCAAGGCCTGGTTGATCCGGACCGGACGAGTTGACCCCTGGGCCATGGTAAACGGCGCTACCTGCCTCCACTTTAGGCTGCGTTCACACTTTCCGTCGGTGTTTTGAGAGCAGAGCAGCGTTCTGAGCGTTTCGAGCGTATGTCAACGCTATGAGCGACTAGGAAAGCATAGTTATCGACCCAGCGTTTTGAAGCAAGTCAGCGTTTCCAGCAACTGCCCGCGCAAGGCTCAAAACTGCCTGCGAAACGCCGAAAGCGTCAGATCTATATCTATGCTTTTCTAGTCGCTCAAAACGTCGCCATTTGCTAGATTGATACCTATACTTTCTTAATCGCTTAGAAAGTTATATGCTCGAAATGCTCAAAGCTACACAAAGTCAAACTCATTCTTGCTTCCGCTATCGTCATTTAATAAGTCACAAACCCTCCTTTCTGGAATATGAGGAATAACTACAGCCCAGCTTGAAGACGAGGAACGTGTCCGAAACATCTGGCAGATTTCAGTGGTAGATTTTCGTCTTTTTTGCATGATCTACCCTCCTGAGTGATTTTAAAACATTTTCTATCCAATATGTAGTGATGAAACTATCGAGAACCTATAGGCATGAAACTACTGATAAAATTAACGATAATTAAACGACAAAAACAAATCAGTCATTGATAAAACATCAAAGACATGAAGCTAACACTGCCCTCTCTTAATTTTTTTTTCACGCCAACTGTTGGCGCTGTTTTGGGCGAAGCTGAGATTCGTACAGTTCACCAGATACCACGAACGCAAGATGACTACCTTTTATGACATTTCCATATTCAGCCGTCTCTTCAAGGTACGATCCTTCAAAATTGTAAATCTGATTCTCTAACGCCTCTAATGTTTCCTAAATGATTATCTTTGAGCAGGAATTTTCAACA